TTACAGTGTAATAATGTTCAATAATAATGTAAAAACTCAATTTTCCTACCATAATTTTGTTCTGGCAGTGTTACCACAAAATAAAAACTAATTGTTTAGCCCAATGTGCAGTGACAAATAAACATATGATAAGGATAGAGATGAAAAGAATCAGCATTTCTGTGATTCAAGATAGTAAATTGTTAACTCATGTTTCACTATAATATTGTTATGTACAAAATATTGACTAATTTTATACCTGTGAGAATCCTTTCTTCCTGTACCTTTAACAAGTGAAGTGGCATGTGCTGTTAAGCTTATCGTCTTTGTAGAATGAAACCGTATATAAAGTATCTACATGTTTATCACCTCAATTTAGTTGTGCACATTCTGTTTACCACCACATGATTGATCACCTTGATACAGTTGTGTTCATTTACTAGTGCAAACTTGATCCCAAGAACTAAGTGTATGTAACTTGTATTAACCTGTACTTACTAGTCATCGAAGTAGTCACTTAGTTGTATTTAGTATTTTTCTAATTTATAATCAGTCACAAAGTAGAACTTCATGTAAACAATGTAGTGCTTTTCTGACATTACCTAGATATTTTATATAAAGTTAATAAACTTTATTACCATAAAAATCTCAAATGATAGATTGTAAAAAATGCACCTTGTTCTGGTCATAGGCCTACATCAGATCAGATAATTGAAGATCTTGTATTGTTAGAAAGAAAATTATTATCAGAACTTACTATATGAAAAATGTTTAAAATGAGTCTTCCATCCATTGAGCTCTGACATTTCTTAATTCATTTTTTCTATGAAAATTAGTATTGTAGATCAAATCTTGTATTTCCTTGAAACTGTTTTGGAAAATGATTTTCATCAAGAAAAATTCAGTAATTTTAGTATCTTGTGGAAATTTGATGGCAGAAACCTAAGGAATGCTATTAATAATTTATTCATCTTGTTGCAGGTTTTGTACTACAGTGGTATATGATATATTTTCATGTACAATGGTTTAAGATTTAAAGTGTAACTTAATTATTGTACTAAAGATATTTATTGTATTAAATGAAACTTGAAAAAGTCTTAAAACTCCAAACAAGCTGAAAATAGGAAGATTAATCTTATGAATACAATTGATTACTTGAATGATCTTGATAACTAATCAATTGGCAAATTCCACTAATCCTCCGACTAATCCTTTAAACATACTACAACTTTATAATTCTATTGAAGTAAAAAATGATAAAGCAAGCTTTAAAGCAAAAAACAAATCAGGACTAATTATAGAAAAAGTTGTTTTCTTCTAGAACATACCAACAGGCTAAGCTTTTATCACTTTGTTCCAATTGCAAGGTTAATCTCTGCTGAATTAGAAACCATGTTCGCTTACACAGTTGAAAAAAAAACAAAGAAAAAAGAGTTTTCATTACATGTTTAGATCACTGACCTATGACATCTCGAAGCTGAGGTAACAACCAATAAATAATAATTAGCTGAAATTGATAAAACTACAATTGTATTCAAACTACAAGGTCAAATTGGTCTAATTTTGTTTAATAATGTTATGAACAATAAAAGCTTGGCAATAATTTGTTGGTTGTTCAGAGCAGAATTCTTTATCAGAATTAGAAGAGACTTTAGTTCTTAACAGTATCTCATTCTCTGTTCTTACAGTGGTTTTAAACATGTTTGTAGACAGTAAAACAATGCAGTTCTTGAGCATGTATCAAAGAATACTAGAATGCAAGTTAAGTCAAGAAAAAAGTTAGTTAGTTAAAGCAAATTTGAAGTTAGCCAGTGTGTGAATGATTAGCCATAATGGGTGATTTCGAGAGAGTGTTGTACAGCTATTTTATAACAACAGAGATGGGAAAAACAATTTGTCTTGTCAGTTGGGGTCTAAAGTAACTGAATCAGCCTGTATGGACTTTGATGCAAAAAAATAGAGAATTATTTAAACCCCTGGATACAACTGTGGTAACCAACAAAAGAAGTCAGAAAAAATTAAGGTAGTGAAAGTGAAGTTAGACTGTGTGATTGTTAGTTTAGCTGAAATGGCCAATATTTTAAAGCGAGTTTCACAGTTTAACAGAGATAAGGAGAATAGTTTGTTTTGTCAAAGGGTGTTCTAAAATAATTGAACCCGTTTGTGTGGACTTTGATAAAAAGAAGATAATTATTTAAAGTTCTGGATTGGCTATTCTCATTCTGTGCTGCCCTCTCTATGCAAACTTTTCATAACGCATGCCACAAGCCTTACGCACCCACCTCTGTTGGAAATATCATGTTCCAACATGTCTCTCGTGCAAGTCATTGTTTGTCACCTCTTAACCAATAGTAGCATGATATGCTCATATGATGCATGTGACTTCCTCTATGCTCGTCTACTAATGGAACCTTGGTTGAGATTCTCTTTCCACTATCATCTCCCTTCCTCCTTCCCGAGACGAACTGCATTAGTGGTTGGACAAAGCTCATACGTTGATGGGCATGCCACTTCCTCCCCAACATCTGGATCTACAGTTGCTCATAGATGCATCCCTTCAAGTTTGGGGGTATGGATCAATCACAAAGAAGTGTCAGGCCATTGGTCACAGATGAATCTGACCTCTGTTTTTGGACATTGGAGCTCTTATACTGGGCCCATGCATGTCACATTTGTGATATTACACTTCATTTGCTTGGTACTTTCAATCTTGTCACAAATTGTCTTCATCAGCCAGACTGGATCTATCGTACGAAGTGGGCATTGGATCCTCTCATTTTCTGTGACCATTACCATCGTTGGGTTCTCCCCAGTTAGATGCTTTTGCCATGAGCCTCAATTCTAAGTTGCCCCTCTTTTGGTCACCTGTACCACATCCCCAGGCCTTGGTGGTCGATGCTTTCAGTCAGGTTTGGTCAAACAAATACCTGTATGTGTACCCTCCAATTCCGTTGCTGCATTAGGTGATTTCTCTGGTCCATTTCATTTCTTACCGGGTCCTCCTGATAGAACCCTTTTGGCCGGCACAACCTTGGTTTCCCAGGTTACAGCATCTGCTCCTGACACTATCAGTTCCTCTTCCACTTTCTCCCTCCCTTCTTTGCCAACCTTGATCCAACCTCCTACATCCCAATCTCCTCATCCTCCATCTTCATGCCTGGCTTTTGTCCGGTTCTGGGCGAGAGGATCCAGTTTCATGCGTCGAGTTGCCTTCTTGTTGGCTGGTTCCTTATGACTGTCTTCTTTAGAAGTCTACCAACATAAGTGGAAAGTGTTCCACTGTTGATCTGCTAACAGAGGATTTCCAGCTGACAAGCCATCTGTGGCTTATGTTATGGAATACTAACCTGGTTGTTCAACCATGGTTCATCATTTTCCTCACTTTCAGGATATTGGGCAGCCCTTTCTCATACCTTCCATTTTTCAGATACCATAAGGTTTTTCTTTCTCCTGTTCTTATTGGGCTCATGCATTCCTTCTATATTCAATGGCCGCTGAGATGGCCTGCCCTTACAGATTGAGATATTAAAGTGGTCCTTCATGTCATCTCTTTACCTCTGTTTGAACCATTTTCTTCATGCTTCTTGTTTCATCTGTCCCTTAAAACTTATTTCCTTCTTCAGTTGGCCTGTGGTCATTGACAGGCAGATCTGTTTGCCATAGATGTATCACATACCCTTTATCACAATTATTCCTTTCTCCCTAAAACCTTGGCTGCTTGGGAAGGTTGTTCATCCTTTTCTCCTATTCCCCTACTCTTCCCTGTCTTTTTCCTTTTATACCTTGTTCCATGTTTTCTCCCATGAAATCAGACATCTCACTTTTTCCCTCTCTTCTTTTTTTTTTGTCATCCGATGGATGAGATTTTTTAATCTGGCATGTGGACTGCTCCAGTACATTCATCTCCCACTATCTTCATTCTATAGCTCTGTCCTCTGCATCAGGGTTTCATTTTACTGGCGAGTTTTCTTCATTTTCTTTTTTTTTTCCAGGGGCCTTTTCACTCCCTTTTTATCATGGATCCTGCTCTGTGGCAAGTAGTGCCTGTCTAGGTACTCTTTAACTCTAAATCTGCACTGTCTGCCATGTTGACTCGCGCTTCTTAGTCCATGGCTATTCACACTCCTCATTGAGATGGGGAATTCCACACGATCACTTATAGGTGAATAACCTTGTGATGTCATTGCTTCATAAACATGTCCGTACCATCTATGGACCACATGGGTAAAGCAGAAGGGGATTACTGCTGATCTCTGGCATGCCTTGTGTGAATAACCAGGTGTGCTGTGCTTTTCAAAATAAGGTTTCATGGTCACAATTGCATTGTCTCTGGTGATGACGTTCTTCCAGGCTCTCCACCTCATAGTCAACCTCCTTTCTTCAAGTGGAGTATGGAAGTCCTTGCCACTTTCAGTTCCAAGGCTATTGTCAAGATACACTTTCATCAAATAGTGCGTTATTGGATATGGTGACATGACTGTAACAATAAGCTGAAACTCCAAAACTGTTTTAATATAATGTAGTGAACCCTAAATAGAGGTGATTAGTTTCTTTTGTTTAAAATTGTTAGGGACTTTTATAAACTGTCTTTGGTATGTTTGTTGGAGTGGTTGAAGGAGAAGGTTGCAGATAAAACTGATAGTATTAAAGGAATCAAGTACAAGTTTAAAACTATTTATTGTTAATTTTGTGCAGTGTATTGAAGCTTTGACCAAGATTCAGAATCAACTGCAGTCAGCAGTTACTGGAAAAGATAAGATCACCGATGCATTTGAGAAATGTAAGTATCATTTTAATATAACTTTCCATATTAAATATACATTGATCTAAACTTTTTGACCAACACACATCTGGTGTGGAAACTTGCATCCTCAAAAATACTTAGATGTAACTTCTGTTATACCAGTCGTGATTATCTGGTTGAAAACAGTATATGTCAATATTGTTTTGATAAACTTAAAGTAAATTATATATCCTTTCTGTTTTATATATTGTGTGAACTTTACTAAAATTAATGAAAATTGAATAAAGTCATGAAAAAATAAAGTAACTCCTTCTTCAACATATTATCATACATGTTGAACAAAATATGGAGTTTCATTAATATGGTTTACATGTAACTTACTTATAGTGTGAAACATGTGGTGTGGCATTAGTAATTCTTACAAACTACATGTACATAATGTTTAAAGCTCTGAGTTTATAAAGCTCAGATGCCTAAATAAATTATTTGGTGTTTTTTGAAAAATTAGTAAGAATATAAAAACAAAAATAAAGTAGTTAGGATGTCAGTCATCCCATAAAGATTACCTGTGATATTAAAACATTGAAGATTCAGCAATAAAACAGCTAAATGAAATATATTACACATTTACGGTAATTAACTGTCATATTTTCACATCCGTGTACACTTGGCTCAACATGAGTATAAAATAATCCAAACTATCAGTACATGCCACAACATTAAGAACACCTTTTGTAACTTAAAAACATAAGATAAAAAAATGTTTTAACAATTCACTGCAGCTGAGATGTATATTTCCCATTGCATTGGGAAACTTACATCCTAGCTACTTTGAAAGGGTTAAAACCAGACTGGCTGTAGATTTTAAAAATTTATATAACTACTTACAACCTCAGCTTTTACACTATTAATATCCTTAGTAGCTCAGAACTAAGAAGATGACTTTCCAATAGAAAACTTACCTTTTTTCATATAATAGCTTTTCTTGTTCATTGCTGCCCTCTATACGCAAATATTTTTCACTTGCCATTAGCCCTTATACTCCCACTTACACCATGTATTTAACATGGTACAGTTGCATTGTAGCATGCAACAACCCTCCACCAGTAGGATGGCAACATACCCTTTTGTTGCAGCTGACTCCCTCTATACTGTAGAACCCAATCTTAATTTCTTGAGTGCAGACAGGTTTAATTTCACTTGTTTTTACTTCATTTTGTTTTTATGTGTAGCCTAATTTGTTAGACAAATGACTTAGTTCTTTTCTCATTCAGTTTTATTATGTGATAGTTTGTGGATTGAATTTGTTTTGCCCACTCAATTTTTTCTTATTTGACTTCATAGACTTGTGTTAAGCTACTACTTCATTTGTAACACTTACCACTGTACAACATCTGTCATTTCTGTGGCTTTGGGCTCCAATATCTCAGGAGAGTGGTTTCAGTTTTCTTTTCCTGCAGATTAGATCCTACCATGTGGTCTATTAAGTCTTGTACTGGGGCAAGATGTACCACTTCCTGGTGTATCTGGTTTAATTGTTGACATCTTGTTTGACAGCTTTTTACTACCTTTTTCTATTGCCGTGCAGTCAAGGACTAAGCTAAGAAGGTTCCCACATTTTTCATCAACCATTCCTTACCATAATTTCCCAGGTATGATACCTTTGGTCTGTTTGTTAGTTTACCCTTCCTATACAGATTTCAGGATCTCTGATGTTTAATTCATAACCCAGTTAAATTCTGAAATTTGCATTTTTTTTCTGGACTATCAACCCTTTGAGTCTTTCATACAGGTTTGGGAATCAAATCCTGAAAATGTCAATTACTTTTAACAGGCCCAATTTTCCTGTTTTTGTCTATCATTTCACCCATCCTTTGTTTCCTTTTCCTCCACACCTCTCCTCACCATGTCTATTCACCAGGCCCCTGCAGGGTGTCAGGGAGAGACTCATTCCTTCCCTTTCTTCCTCCACCTTTGTCCCTGTGTACTTGACTCTTCTGTTGGTGGGATCTTTTTGGTGGTGTGCACTGTTTTCTTTAGGGCATCTCCCTCCTCAAATTCTTCCTTGCTCTTTGTTTGGCACCATAAATTATGCCTGTTTGGGGTTCTGCCGGTGTAGATGATGTAATATCCTCCAATTTTTGATTAACCATCCAACAGAGTGAGATTTCACAATGCAGTTCACTGCTTTGATTGGGAGCCCACATCCTACCCTCGTGTAGATGTTGGTACCCCGCAGGTTAGTTTTATATTTCAAGTGAACCAATCAACATAAGCCCTCACACAAGTTTAGGATTGTATATCTTCCTCTCTCAATTTCCTTCTTCTGTGTTGTGGGTCACTGCAGGGATATGTCGGATTATTCCAGTTCTATCCTTGGCTCTCTTTTTCTCTTAATACATGGATGTTATTGCCCTTTGGGTGGTCCTGACCTCTTTCACAGTTGCGGGAGTTGATATCATGTGATAGACTTCCTTTTGATACCAGATGTCAAATTCCCAGATCTATAGCTCAGAGCTAATCCTGTGTAATACCCAAAAATTGGAGTGGTTTTCAATTCCACATTTCTTGGGTTTGAGGTGAAGATGGTGTGATCCTCATTCTACCCTTCCATGGATGTCAGTACCCCACGAGGAGGTTTTGGGTGTAGTTGACGTACAGAGTATGGTCTGCCATGCCCTAGCCACTCTACACCATGGGATGCATCCTCGTTTACCCACTTTTCTTATTGTGGTATTGAGTTACTATATCTTTTTCCAGTTATTATCACTTTCCTACGTTATTTCCTCCCACTCAGATGTGCTTCTCTCAATTTCTGCCAGGATTTCTTACACATTCCACATATGGGGCGAAGGGTATACCTGGATCAGAAGTGGTGCAGTTCCCCTCTTTAGATCTGACTCTATCGTCTACAGTGGTATCCTTTGGACGCTTCTGGGGGGTACGTATGTTCTTCCCTTGCACCCCCTCCTCCTAATCAATGTGGGATTTTAGCTAATCTTGTGAGTGGAGGGAAGTACTGTATTGAAAGTTATAATTTTCCTATACTAAAAAATTTATTTCCAATAGGAACTTCCCTCCTCTCACACTTCCCACCCTTTGTCCCCACTCACTTCTGGTACTTCTGTCGTCTGCCAAACTTGTAAGTGATAGTTTGCTAGAGGTGCATAGAGGGAGTCGCATGCATCATGTGTGTGGAAGTTTTGTGGCATGTTTAATATAAAAGTTTTCATATAGCAATGAACAAGAATAGCTAATCTTGTGAGTGGAAGGAAGTACCTATCAGAAATACATTTTCAGTATGGGAAAATTATAACTTCTGCATTTAGTTTTTAAGGCTGCAATTTAGTTTTCAACACAGTTGCTCAAATCATCTGTAGTTCTTCAGTATTCCAACAAAAACAAGTATATGTCTTTAGTTCATTCCAAATAGGTCAATTTTTTAATTGAGTTATACTGCACATCTGTCACTTTTAGATAAAGTTTAAATAGTTTCTTCATAAAGAAACCTAAAGTGAACATTGCATAAATGGAGTCTAACTGGTCTTAAACAAAATATCAACTTTGTTATTTGTAAACTCAAAATTTGTTATATAAACATATCTCAGTACATAATTACCTCTTGTCACCACAGCTAGACATGTTACTAAAATCTTCATTCTTTTCATAACAACAACATAATTCTTACATAACAAGTAATACATTCCTGACTACTCATATTCACATATTAAACACATTCACTAAATTTTATAAAGAAATTTCTTTTTCTAATATCATATTTTAACACTTGTATAGGTTTTAAAATCAATGAATGACACCGACAACATTTGACTTTATACAATTAAAATCCTTTTAACTGAGACCAAGCAACAATCTTCTCTAAAAACCATTCTACATATCTCAACAATTTCTCTTCTTCTTCTCTTAATATCATTATTTATTGTTTGTAAAAGAGATTTCTCAGTTAAGATAACATCATGTTTTGGAAGTAAAAACCGATATGAACATCAAGCTTTCATTCTATTACTTTTTTTCCTGGGTTTGAAATTTGTATATTGTTTTTGGTACATCTTTATTTTCAGTACAAAATATGTCTTCTGTTGATTATTAAAGAAAGTATGAATTGAACAAAAAATGATGTGATGTAATTAAAAACCAGTAAATTAGGTTATTTCCAATATTTTTTTGTCTTTTATATAAATATATTTATATATATTCCAGTGAGTGAGTTAGAAAAATTCCTTGATCCAGACTATGCAGATAGTTTGACTTTAACAGAAGCTGCAAAATTGGACATTGTGCTTGAAGGTTTGTACAGTACTAGTAAATCAGTGGTAACATCTGTAAAACTAGATATTGTTTTTCAAATGTCTATATAGAGTCATAGGTCAAAATTTGTAAATTTGGACATTGTATTTGAAGGGCTTACCACATTTATGACAGAAAAACTTTTAAATGATATGAAGAGAATGTATGTGTGTGTGTAAAGTAAGAAGCAAGTGAATGATAGCCTTTTGGTTTGTTGTGGTTTGCTATCAGCTAACAACATTATATCTTTATTGTCCAAAATGTCATTAAACAAAGCTTTAAAAGGATCCAAGGTGACCGCACACCACATCTTAAAGTAGATGAACTCACAACTTAATTACACGTAGAATAATTTTGTCTTAAATCAAGAGTTTATCTAGTACTCGTAGCTTGTTCTTTACACCCTCTAGCAAATTAATGGCATGCCTATAGTAAAAGAAGAAACTGTATACAGTATTGTAGAAGGGGTCTAACAAGTGTTTCATATTAATTGTTAAAGTAAAATTTTTCACAGATATTACATGTTATCCATCTTCATCTTTTTTTTTTTCACTACAGCCAAAACATTCATCAGAATGGTATGAAAGAAACTAAGAATCAGAATTGATACTTTGTAGAGCAAAGTTTATTATTTTATACTTCATTAAATACTATATAACATGGAGCTAAAAAATTATCTACTGAAAAGATTGTAAACAATTTAGAAAAGTGTCAATATTGATAATTAAATAATTAGTATTTGGTAGTAGCTTTAGTGTAACATAAAAAGCCCTATAGTTTTATATTGTTATTAAACATGCAAGTCTGGAAAAATAGGTATAATTTATCTAAATGGTTTTCATTACATAAAAAGCAAATTTTAAATAAATGTTTAAAATCATTGATATAGAGTTTTGAATTTATTTCAGTTTTGACCTTATCAATAAAGGATATAGTAATTTCTATTAGTTATTTTCAGTGTAGCTTCAATGACTTTGAAATAGCTTTAAATGTCTCATTTAAATAGGCAGTTTACAGTTGTAGAATTTATTGTTGTAATATTATACAGAAATATGTGTTTTTACAGTATCTTTTTGCTGAGATCTTTAGTATGTAGAAGAGAAAATATAAAAATAAATTGGTTAGGACAGGTGTTAAAAGTAGTTAGAATTTTTTTTGTTTCTAAGAAAGTATTAACAGAGTTACTCTTTGTAGGCAGGATTAATTTTTGAGAATAAATGAGACCTGGCATGGCCTATTAGTTAGTACAGACAATCGAGTTAAGGTTTTGTGTTTCAAGTCCTTTTACCTCCTTAAAAACTATTATTTGGTCTGACAATGCTACCACAAGAGTTGGCAGTGGATGGTGTTGACTACTTATCTTAATTCCTTCTAGTCTATTACATCAAAATTACATAAAGCTAGCATGAAAGCCTTCATGTAACTTTGTGCAAAATCCCCAAACAAATGGAGAATAAGGCTCTAGCTGGGTTGTGTTTTTCTATTGTATCTGAAGAAGTGGTATACTAGTATTATGTGAACATTGCATGTGACCATTTTTTTTATATTTTAACATTGTAGAAGAAGAACTAGTTCGTCATATTATTGACAGTTTGCAAAAAGTAGAAGACCTGAAAAGTGTGTTGGACAGTGAGCATATTAAAGGTAATTTTCTATGTATGATGTGTAAGATTAGACTTGGTAATGAATATCTTTAGATTTATAATATAAAGTATATTGATGTATTAAAATAGGTTAAAAAGATACAATGAAAAAAGATTTTTAAATCCTTGTCATTAACATCAACTATTGGTGAAGCTGTTTAAACAAAATTTTAAGGAAATCTTACGAAGAATAAGCATAAATAAAAATACATCTAAGGAGGTTAGAATTGAAATATAATTATTTATATGCAAGGATGTTATTGTTTAACATTATTTTAAAATGTTTATACTCAAATCATAATTACATGGGCCCGGCATGGCCAGGTGGTTAAGGAGCTCGACTCACAATCTGCAGGTCGCGGGTTCGTATCCCCGTCCCACCAAACATGCTCACCCTTTCAGCCGTGGAGGCATTATAATGTGATGGTTAATCCCATTCTTCATTGCTAAAAGAGTAACCCAACTGTTGGTGGTGGGTGGTGATGACTAGCAGCCTTCCCTCTAATCTTACACTGCTAAATTAGGGATGACTAGCACAGATAGCCCTTGTGTAGCTTTGTGAGAAATTCAAAATAAACAAACAAATAAACATAATTACATGTTGATGGATTTAATGTATTATTTATAGACTTGAATTATGAGGGTTGATAATTGTGCCAACATTCCATTGATGGTTTAAAAAGCTAATTGATTGGCAGAGCCTGAGTCTGCCAGTGAGTTTATCTGACAGTAAATTATCTGTGGTAGGCAGCTAGGAACAATGAATGTTAAAAAATGGAGGAAATAAGTGCCTCTAAGCTTTCATTCCCCCAAACGTTAATTAAAAGTTAATACTGAAACAAGTAAAAATGAAGCTGTAGGTGGAGATGTGCCTGAATAATTGGAGAAGCTGTGGCAATGACACTACAAAGCTTTCAACTGATATGAAAATAAAGATGTTGTACTTTAACCCTTTTGCAACAGAAGACCCCATTAAATGCTTTTCTGTGTAAGTCACTGTGTTGCATTCAAAGTTAATTAAACATGTTTACTGTCAATGTATGTGAATGAAATTAATATAATGTATGTTATGATTCAAAGTTTTATTTTATCCAAGGTTTAGTCCTTTATTTCAAAATAAAATTTTAAAACTTCAGATATATTGTCATGTGACCAACAAGCTATGAAAATTCTCTACTTTGGCTCTGTATTTTCAATAATACAATTGTAGTTAATTAGAGGTGCATCTAGACAATAAGATAATTACATAACCATAATTCAAAGTTCTCTGAATGAATACAGTTGAAACAACTAATACATTTTTTTCAACCCCTGACAGCTTCCATGCCACCTTCAACATATTTTTAGCATACATGTAGATGTTACCTATGCGTGTATACTGATTAGAAAGATGTTATTTTACATTATAAACTAACAATGGTTATTTTGAAATTGTCACAAATCATGTGTAATTGACTGCAGTATTGTTGGTTGCTTGATCGACTATAGCACTTACAGTTGTTTCTTACCTAAATATTTTATAGTTAGAGATACAGTTTTAAAAAAATTTAAATATACATCATACTTTGCTTCCATTCTCAAGGCTTGCAATATTACGCGCTGAATGAAAATTTTGCTGAAGGGTTGCACAAATCTCCTAAACTGTAATATGTCTTGTGGACATTGTTGACAGTGTCAAGATGTATAATAAGACCAAAAATTACAAATTTCACAACAGGAAAATCTTTAAAGATATTTTACAAAAAATTAAAAGGTACATTTTTTTTCTGTTTCCTGATTTTAATCATTTCATTCAATTGTATGTTGATGATTATAGCTAGAGTTAGTGATATGGTACAGAAAAATATAATATAAACATTTACCTTAAAAACTCTTGATATGAAATATTAAAATGAAATATGAAAACTTTAAGAAGAAAAAAGCATTTTTATACTTAAGATGAAAATCACCTTGCACTCGAATTGTTAATAGTTTGAATGCATGTAACTACAACAGAAAAATATCATATTTTTAGTAAAAAACTTAATTATAATAAAATCATTCTTTGTGTACAAGATACTTATGACCTTTAATAAAATCTTACCAGTTTTTGATAGGATACGTTAAGATATATAGAATTACCACATGTATTGTTGTACAAGTGGAATTCGCAAATCAATTTTCACAAATTGCACAAGCCTGCTGCGAAAGGGTTAAGATGTCAGACAAATGACGATGATGTTTTGTATTTTGACCAGTAAAACATTTAGTAGTGCATCACTGTGATGGGCAGCAGTTTTTCTTAGTGGTGATGTGCAGTGTGCTATTGTGTTCATGTTTTTTTCAAGGTAATTTGTCACCACAGACTTTGAAGATGGGTTTATATTTTTCTTATTTTTGGAATGACAAATATTTTGAAATTATGATTATATGAAAAAAGTTCATGTTATTATAGAAAATAGCTGGTATGACTTATAACCATTTTCAGTCAGTTGTAAAATTAAGTTTTATATCAGATGGTGACATCTCTGGTTCAAGTATTTAGATTTCTGTAATTGTTTTGTTATCCTACTTTTGGTATGAGGATCCAAATTTCAAGACTTCCTGAATAGTAAGACACATTAAAATTAATAAGAAACAATTGCAGCCAGTGTTATGTAATCTGAAATAGAAATAAATATTGAGAGATAGACTCGTTCTTTAGAAATGAGAATAATTGTTTTAATACATTTCATTTTTATAAGCACATGTAGATTGTATTATAAAATTTAAGTGATAAACTGCAACTTCAGTGTATTTATGCAATAATGGAAGTAATTATGAAAATGCATAAGCTATCTACATACAAGAATGAATAATAGTAACTAGATTGTGAATTTATTAATGGTACAAAACATTTATCACAGAAAATGTAAAATAAAAGCAAATAAGTTCTACAATGCACTAGTATTTTGTATGTGAGACTTTTACTTTATACGCAGCATTACACCTTGTTTGCGTGCTGTCATACAATTTATTATTGTATGCTTGTAAAATATGGTGCAAATTGTCTTGTATTACTCCTCACAATTCAGCCAAGTTGTTTTATCACCTTTTAATTTTAGTTTTTAAATAAGCATATACAGCTGCATCTGTTGTCATGGAGCTTAACCCTATGGTACCTGGCTACTCTATCAGTGATGTAACATCACTCTCATTGTATTTCTTTGCAAAAATAAAACTAGGTGAAAAATTGTTTAAAATTTGACAAGAATGTTCATAAGAGCATGAAGTTTTAGAAAAATATTTAATTTTTTTGTTTTTTCACTTTTTGTAATAGAAATTTATTTAATTTAGTTATTTGCACTTGGACTCTGAATAGTTCACATGCAAAGTGATTTTCATGTTAAGTAGAAAAAAATACTAATGTTTACCTTAAAGTTTTCATATTTCATGTGCATAATCTTTAGAACCTCCTAAAGGAATATCAAAAGTTTTTTAAGGTAAATGTATATTTTTTATTTGCCATTTTCTGTAAAACATCACTAAATCTAGCTATTATCATCAACGTACAGTGCAGTGAAATGTTTAAAATTAAGAAATAGAAATATGTACGTACCTTTTAAATCTTTGTTGATTATTTTTATGACATCTTCAGTAATTGACATGTGTAATTTCTTGTCTTTATCTTTTCACTTTATTTTTAATGTTTTATTTTCCTCTTGTGTTCTGTATCTTTGATTATTTGTTGACACGCACATCAACAAGTAACCGCAGGCGATGTTACATTAACTTCAACTGTTAGGTTTAGCCCCTTCAGCATAATATTTTTTGCACTTGTAAGTGTCTCAAAACTGTTTTAAAATATAGAATAATTAAAAAAAATATTTAAACCTCTCAAATATGTCTTAAGAAACAAATAATACATATTTATCTAAAGTATAAAAGTAAAACCTAAATGCAATCTATTAAACTAATACCTATAAGGGGAGAGAAAATTGCCAAGTGCTACGGACATTGTACTCATTATAATGGCGCTGAAAGTAACTCTATACCATATTTGTCACATAAGGATAAACAACCTCGAAAGGTAAAATCTGCTCTTTCTATTGGTTATAAGCATGCCATTCAACTTAAAACAGTCACTAAGCAACTCAGCTTCTACTTTGAAAGTGGGCATGGCATAGCTTGAACTCAGGAATGTCTATAAAGATTTTCTCTCTAGGCCAGTTCTAGGACTTTGTGTCAAGTTTCCGGTAAACAAACTGTATGTACATGGAGTTTAATACCAACCAGAAAGATGTTTTTAACTGTAGTCGTTTCTTGTGTAAGAAAGTCGAAAATTCAGTTGTGCTTCAAGTAAGAGCAAACATGAAGTTTTTAATTATTCCTTTAGCAGTTTCTTTTGAAATAAATGAATAAAACATAAATTATATGATTTGAATCATAACATAGTTAATAATGCCAATTTCATTAAAATACATTGATAGTAAAGTGATTTAATTAAATTTTGGATATAACTCAATAACACTTAGTGACATGTGCAGAAAGGGACTCAAGAATGGTACTGGGAGTTATAGGATTAAGTTCATGGTAGGGCCAACCAAGCTGAACAGGTCAAGGGAAAAGAACAAGACTAAAAATGGACACCATTTCTAAGGTTAACTACCTCACCTTGTGAAACAAAGAGGGTTACAGAAACTGATGAAGGGATGAAAAGGATGTTAACTGTCATCCTTCCTTTTGCTGTTAATGATAAACTGGATCATGAGGACAACATATGAAACACATGGATCCAAGTGGATAATTTTGAGCTTGGTGACACAGCCACAGCCAAATACATGATAAAACCACCACCTTGAAAATCAACTCAGCCAAAATATTATCTTTTTTCCTAACCATAAACCAGTTTTTTGAGTAGTGAGAGACGATATTACGTACTTCTAGTTTGTATAGAATTGGCTTCATTAATTTTTGGTTCTATGTAATAAGGTTACTTTTGGTTTACAAGTTATTATAAATGCATCTAGGTCATTTCTTCTATTACTGCTTACAAGTTTAGATCTTTCATTCATAAAGTTCAAATATATAAGTTCTTTTCTTTGCCTATTGTCAAAATAAATGGCTTTTACTTGTATTTCTTAATAGTATGAATATATACTATGTTGCTGTTAGGCTTATGATTCTTCTACAGTAGGTGTCTGTGACTTGTTAGCAATAAATTCAACA